TCCCGAGTAAAAGACCCTGCCTCATCCAGTGGTTGAAAATCAGCTGCAGCAAAGGAACAAAAATGGGCGACAACCTCAAGTACACTTGGAAGACCATCTAGTCCCGGAGACTTATCCAGGCCAACCTGCTTCAAGTTCCCAGATTTCCGACTCTGTTTTTGCACCTAGCCGCTTCCCAGCTGCCTCAAGGCAGGAAAGTCAGCCAAATAGGCATCGAACTGAATAGAGCCCAAACCGGGCTCCCCCTGAAAGTAAGCCGAAAAAGGCCTCGCATATGCCAAAGTCACGGTCCGCTTATCCGGCAATGTGACACACGCGATATATCGCGACGCGCGTTCCTGTTCTCCTCTGCATAATTCAGCGGCCATATTTTTAAAGACATTCTTTTAACCTAGCCCTAACTACAGAGCAGTCTTCTTTGATAAGTAAGCAAAGACAACTCTGCCTTTAGCTAAGACTATGTCCCCCACTAACACGGGATTTAACAGCCCGATTTCTGCTCACTTCTAAAACCGTTTGCAAATTGTCTATCTAGATTGAGTCGTCAACCTAAAATCGCAGCAAAGCGTTCTAATTTTGATTTTAATTTTTCCCCACCAGGCGTTACCCACAACCCCCCCTGTCAATTCTGAATCATTAGTAGCAGCTGGTCCCGAAATCCTGCTCACTGAAAATGAACAGTTAAATTTCAGTAACCAGCCAATCAACCAAACAACTAGTTTACACGGACGGACAAGCCTATGATCCGTATAAACTATATAATGGAAACTTGGACACTCTAAGAGCCCTGCGACTCTCCCCTAACACTTTCGGTCCAGGTAGCTAGAAGCGAGCCAGGAGCCCACTATTTGTCCACCAAACTACCCCTCCTGGGGTTTATCGACAAGATCAAACCTGCCGATAAAGTCCCAAAATGCCCCTTCACATCAGGATTGTTAGTACCGGTTTTTTACCTATCGATCTATATCGGGGGTCAGGGACGGCATTCCAATCCCCGCTAAAACTGAAAAAACGCCTCGATCTGCCGTAAAGCAGGCCAATTGCAAAACATTGGGCGATAAACCCCAATGAGACGTAAACCGGTATCCTTTATAGGTAACATCCAGAACGCAAAAAGTGCCCGCCCGGATCTGGGAAGACAAGGAACATGCAGCCTTCAAAGCCTTTGCTCACTAGCCAAGAGACACCCCTCACGACCATCAAAACATGCTGAATAAAAGGAAGCCAACCCCTTAGACAGTATATCCTCATGATCATGATGAAGAAAACCGGGTGATCTTTTAACACAATAAAATTCACCGAGGTTTTGAGACTCACAAGAGAACCTGCCTCACCTGAGGAAAAGGCCCCGCATTAAACGTGGCTAACCAGAGAGGAATTGTGAAGACCCCTGTTTACCAGCATTAAACATGGTGAAGTAAGGATACCCCGAGTCTCCCAGACCCCATGAGACATCTCATTCTTGATGGTGCCCGTCTGGGAGATTCAGCCCTAGGGAACTTTAAACCCAGAGCTCTATACAGGGATGGGTGAACTAAAACAGGGACCCTCCCTGCACCAGGAACTGTTTAATTTTTTTAATTTGTCATTTTCTACAATGGCGATGGGCAAAAGCCATCTTACAGGCATTACCGCTTCTTCCACCATAGCCCAGGCTTGATTAGCCAGGTCCTGACCCAACTGTCAGGACCCCTCTGGGCATTTGGGGAAATTTGGAGGATATTCAATGTCCAAATCGGACCAGAACTGCTTTATTGAGAAAGGTATTTTAGCTCTTTCACTCTATTGCCGTAGTCCCTGGCTCTCTCGTACTGGGCTGGGAAATCTGACATTCCTTCCTGTGTTGAAAATGAATCTTTTTTTCTCCTTTCTTCCTGACAGTGGGGCTTCTTTGCCTCTTTGGAGCAGGAGGAGGCATCTCGGCATTTTGCGGTGATTGTAAAGGGTATGAAGGGGGTGGGTTTTGTTTAACAAAGGCATGGGTGTGTTCATGGGGGTATAAAAGATCTGTGTCTATAGGGGCTGGGATCTCTACTGGTGGGTTTGGCCTTAGATGGTGAAATAGCAGGCGATGGTGGGGTTGTTTCTTTGGAGAAGGGGTGGGTCTATTAGAGGGGCGTAGAAATAACTTGGTTCTTTTCTTTCCGAATCAGGCCTTTTTAATTCTTTAATTTCTCGGACTTTTCAAACCGGGATCAAATCTTTTTTTTTTTCTTGAAATGATTCTTCAGAGGCGGGCATAAGCCCTTAACGTTGTTAGAGGGGTGGGCTGTATGTGCCTTTCTTCCTAGGGGCATCAGGGGACTGAGGACCATCTGTCCGGTACTTCCCTCTGGCCTTACCAGCAACCAGCCATTCCCCTCCCCTTCTCCCCCAACTGCACGGCAGCGGCGAAAGCTCTTTGGGGAATGTGGCTTTTGATGTCGGCAACGGATTAACCGACCAGTCCCGGAGCTTTTTTTCGCCCATTACAGGCGGGTAGAATTTAGAGGCAGCTTTCAGAGGGATCTTGAGTAACTGGCGCTTGACTTCCAGAACCTTCTTCTCTGGGCAGGAGGAGGAGAGATGACCAGTCCTCCACACCTCCAGCATACCGGGTTCGACCCGTCATTTTGACCGTAATTTCAAGGGAACATCGAGACAGTTGGGGATGGGCGGAAGGCTTTCTCCAACATGATGTCAAAGTTCCACCCCCGCTCAGGCTATCACAGGAAGCTCCCAGAATCTCGCCATACTTGTTCCCCGATAATTCCTGAGGACCCTCGTATTTCCGTTACCCTGGTCTTAGGCCGGGCCCTCGTAGTCTGTAATGCAAAATGATTTCCTTGTTGATAAGCTCGGCTAGCTGGCACGTTATCTTCTGATGTGGGCAACAGTCGTCCCACATGAAAAAATTAGCACCCTTAACTATTCTAAAGAACTCAAAGGATTCCAGTTCTTTCAACACTGTGTTTTTCGTCAACGACTTTTTCCGTCACGCTTGTCCCGAAAAAACAGACACTATTCTTTTGTCAATTTTTTTCAATTCTTGGGGTCTTCAAAAAGCCCACCTTCTACAACAAGGTGTGATCCTTTTGGCACGCTCCAAGAACTCCGCTAAATTGATAATGCACTTAGGGGGACGACCAACAAGAGGGCGATTCCCGGCCTCAGGCTCAGTTTTTTTTTCTTTTTCTGGAATCTGGAATTTTTCTGAAATTTGGCCATTATTGGCCTCCAAAGGTGAGTCCTTTTCATTATTGCCATTTTCGGCTTCCGTAAAATATTATTATTTTTTCTTTTTTTTTTTCAATTTCTTTTCCCCAACAGCATAAATGTTGCTAGGGGAAATCTCAGGTGCAGGAAATTCCTCTAAGTTATCTTTGTCCGGGATCTTTCTTAGTAGGATTAAAAAGGTGTTTACGTATAGCCTTTTTAGGCTTTTTATTAAAAGGAGGGTGGCTTTTTTCCTTTTTTTTATCCATATTAAATAATAAGAAGGAAGGGAGGTAAATTATGGGAAACCTTTTCTGTTTGGAGGGAAAAAAAATAATAAAGGGAGGAAAAAGGTTTTTTTGACAAATATCAACAGACAGAAGGACGTGTGCAAAAAAAAAATGTAAACAGGTAAAACAAATGGACAGGCGAGAAAATGTTAACAAGGTTCACAAAAATGAAGAAAGAACAAAATTACAAGTACAACAGACAAGCAAGCTACAAATTACACAATAAAAAACTATAATAAATATACACGGAAAAAAAAAAAAGCGTGCGAAAAACAAAAAATTTACAAATTACAAAATGGCTGCCGCTAAAAAAGCGGTCAACCCAATAACGTTAAAAAAAGGAGGGACAGAAATTACAAACAAATATTATAAACACGTGATTTTTTTTTTTTTTTTTTTTTTTTTCTAACAGGTAACAGAAATAATTAACACGTAATAATTAAAAAAAAAAAAAGAAAAAATAAAACGATAAACTCCGGGTGTGGGTACTGGAAAAATTAGGCGTAAATAAAACAGAGATAACTAATAACAGAAAAAAGTAATACTTGAAAAAGGAAAGGAAATGAAAAGGAAAAAAAAAAAAAGGTCAAAATAAGAAAGTTCGGAAAAATGACAAATTTAAAAAAAGGAGACAAAAAATAGGTAAACAATTAAATCAAAAAAACTTAACTAAATAAGGCAGTCCAAAAGGTAGAAAAAATAGTCCTTTGAATGACAGCAAAAATGTCTAACACGGTCAGGAGCAAAAACGGTGTAAAAGCAAAACAAGTACACCGAAGTTGGCTAGACTGACTGAATGGGGCTGTCTGCTTTCCTATTTATAACTTTTGGGTTTCCAAAAGTGGCTCAACTAGAACATTTTAGCGCAATTCCTGTTTCAGAAAAACGATTGACCAATGGAATTGCTTGATTCGATTCTCGCCATTTCTATTGGCTGAGGTTTATTTTGTACGTAGGCGTACGATGTGGACTGTGCCTTTTTTAGGTTAGAAAGGTGAGGATATTGGAAGAGTCCACAATCTGATCTGTTAATCTGATGAGAGAAGTAAACATCAAAGATGTCCAAGGATCATTTATCTACCCCAGACAGTGCCAGGAAGATCAATGAATAAAGAACTCAGTATAATGAAAACAGGATTCATATTTACTTGTGATATTTCTTTTGTTAAATGTATTCCTGGCTTTTCTTTATATTGATGTAAATGGGAATTGAGCCATAGTGTGAGGGAGAAGGTCGGCAGTCGGTGAAAAAAATTGCTTAAGAAGCTTGGTTATGTTTATACTGTCACTGATCTCTTAGGCACAAATTTTACAGAGGCAACTTTTTAAATTATCTCTCATTTGCAATATTTTATTAGACTTTGTGTAAGATTTTCTCTTTTATGTATTTTTTTTTTTTTATTCTCTGGATTTTCTTTTAATAATGAATAAAACTAGTTGCTTAATTTGAACTAATACACCCTACTGTGCTAAAGGAAATTAAAACAATTGTGTTTTTTTTTTCTCTCTTAATAGGAGCTGCAGTTAAAAAACCAAGCATTGGATGCATTCCGAGAAACACTGTCAGTATTTGATGATCAAATCAAACTTCATGAACGCCATCATAAAGATGCCCAGGCCCATGAAGCCCAGAAGTAAGTGAAATTGTTTACAACTTCCTCATTGATGAAAACTTGAAGCAGAATTAATTGTTGACCTTATACTTCCTTAAAGTATTTGGTTATTAAAGAATCAAATTTTAATAAATTGATAGTTATTTATCCAAGTTAATATCCAAACAGAATCTAAATTTGCTGTTTGTTTTTTTTTTTTTTAAGTAGATTCTAAACTTCAATTTTCTGGAGCAGGTATTTTGGAAGGTTCCTAGTAGAAATTGTTTAAATAAATGATAATTTGATTTTCTTATAAATTTTGGTTGAAATTTGAATTTGCTGAATATTTATTGCCAAGTTGCTCAAACCTCTGAAGAGGTGTGAATAACCGAATTGTTAATGGCATTGAAGAATGGAGTCTGCAAATTGAGTTCAAAAGCTGGGATAATTTACATTCTTTTTGACTCGTACCTTCGATAAAAATAAGACTCCTTACAAGTTGGATGAGTCTAATGGTACGGCAACTTGGAAAACTCACTCTGATTGTTCTGATAAGAAAAGAACTTGTGAATTTGTTGTCTAGATAGAGGACATGCTTGATAACGATCCGTCCAAATCAATCAGGTCCATAGCCAGGGGCACAAGAGTGTCTTTGTTTCTTATTAGGCAGGTAGTACATTAAGAAATTCAGTATTTCTCATACAAGATGAGAAAGGACCAGTTTTTATCCCAAGCCATGAAGGACAAGAGGAAAGATTGTCAAGCATCCCCTCCAGCTGAATAAGCTTTGATTTTTCTCAGACGAGACACATTTCTTCCAAGATAAGATGGTGAGAACACAGAACAACCATTACCTTACTGTGTCCCTAAAAGATGTACTGAGAGTGATGAAATCCAGATATCCAGTAAACATCATAGTGATGTTATGTCTTCATACATCTTCCCACAGGGCCTCAGACTCAACACAGAGGCTTATATAAAGTGGCTTGACGAGTTAGTGCTGCTTTTTTTTTTTTTTTTTTTTTTTTTTTTTTTTTTTTTAAATAGATAAATTTACTGTTTACTATTTCAAGATATTTTTGTGATGTCAGTGTTATTTTCATTTTTGTATAATTTAGATGACAATTCATCTATCGCACCAGGTAGGTGGCTTCTACAAAATCACAGAGGGCTTACCAAATAACAACAAACATACTATTTGTACAATTGCAACAGTAACAAAAATGGATAGCACATGTGACTAGAAGTAAAAATAATGATATAATCAAAATGTTGACTTTTCATTCTACTTCGAACAAAATTGTTGGAAGGAAACTCCTATTAATATTGCAAAGAGTGATAACAATGGAAAAACTGTTTTACAAAAAAAAAAGTTTATAAATTACAGCTGACAGTAGCATTTTTTAGTCAATAACTGCTGAATAATTATTGTATAGAAATGGTTAATTTAACCATTGCTATTCCCATCCCTGGGGTTATTTCGTTTTTGATAAAACTAAATGAGTTGAAAGCAGATTTGGCATGTTCTCTGGTCAGTTTTGTTTCTTTTTCAGATTGCATGAAAATTTTGAACTGTTGAAAAGGCGTTTAAGTAGCATCATGGAGAATCGTGCGAAACTTGAGGTTGATATTCAGCGTCAGTCAGCACGTAACAGATCTTACATCAGTGAGATGAACAGTATGAAACCAGAATTAAAACGACTTTGTAAAACAAGAGAAATGAGTAAAAAGTATGTTGGTTTATCTTTTTATGAGATTGAAAATGAAACCATTTCAATTCGACACTTGTATATTTATTTTTAGTGTATAACAAAGAGAACCACTTCAAAAGTATAATGGAAATTCACTTTTGCACATTTGCTTTTCTGCTACTAATCATTTATTGTTTTTTTTAACTTTGTCTACAATATAAAAATTTTGCTTTTTGATTGCTTAACAAAACAGATTATTTTTGTGATTATCTGCTTTTGAATAGTTTGCAAGGAAAGATATTTTAATTACATGTGGTATTAAGAAAGTTGTGAAATTTGAACTGTTTGTGATCAGTTTATTCCTTTATTGACTCTCCATGAGTACTATAGGCTGCTTGAATACCCCCCACAAAATGTTTTACCTTAATATTTAACAAGTGGCAAGTCAAATTTTCATGATTAATGAAGCAGCTTTTTGAACACCTCAGTCAAGTAGCTACAAAGCATGTAATCATAATATTAAGAGTCCCTGAAATAATTATGGTGTGATACTGTGGACACCTACGTAGAAAGGAAGAGGTGGTTTTATCTTGCTCTCAAGTGTTTCTATTTGATAGACCAGTAGATAGTTCCTTTTGAAGTTTGGTCTTCTAAGCAGCATCCATTTTAATCGATGGGAAATAAAAGGAATTTAGGAGATCAAGTGGCAACAAAACTGGAAATAGTTTATATCCTGGTTCTGGTCTATATTAACAGTCATGTTTGGTATCTGGGAGAGTTTTGGTCGGCCTATGATGGGGAAACAAGTTATTTTGAAGCCTCCATTTTTGTATTGTCAGCAACCACGTCGGCACAAGTCGATGGACAAGAAGTTGGTACGAGGAAGAACTGACATAGAAATTGTCACAAGTATCACCTACCGACTCACCCACTCAGACAAGCAGGCAAATGCCTGAATAAGATACCTACATATAATATGGGAAACTGTGTTCTCCATGTGACTCTTGTCTTTCTTCATGTTGCTTTGTTAGATAGCAGCATATCTTTCTTTAGCTTTTCGTTCATACTGATGATATCGAAAATTAGAATGCAATGTGGGGGTAATCACTGGAAAGCTTTAGTGAATGCTGTGTGTGTTTACAGTGGTAGAAGCATAGGCAAAGATCACAGTAATCTTCTTTTTTTATTTAACTGTTCATCTTAGGTATGACAATAAATTATATCTAGCAACAAGGCCTTTGATTGAAGTCTTTGAGGTGCTAAAAATATAAAAATACATTTTTATAGTAAAGTTACCAACAATACATTTTATGATCTGCAAAGTTTGTATATTTAAAAGACATACTTTTAATCCAAAAGCATAAAATTACATACAAAATACAAAATATCTAGATTTTGACATTAAATAGCCCACAGAGGTTGATATGTCACCGAACAAAATCAACAAGGCAATCATTGGAATGGGGGGGAAAAACAGTTGATGAGAAGTCCGTTTAATTATTCTTTTTTACCTTTTTAAAAGATCATACTGAAAATAAAATGAAATCTATTTTTATATATTTGAATATTTAAAATTTTCATTTTTTAATATTGGCTTTTAATTTTATTTTTCAAAGTAAAACATGTTATATGGTGGCTGGCTGCTTGTATCTCAGTTTGCTTGTCTGCTAGTGGGGCTAGCCAATCCCTGTTGCAGAGGCCTGCTCAGGCACATTTGTGTTTGTTCAACACCTGCAGAGCTCACCTGTAGTTTGTATTGCAACTATGGTGGGTGGACCTTAGTTACAGTTTCTGGGAAAGAGCGTATTATCAGGCATGATCAACAATATGAACAAGGCCAGTTGCTCAAACCCTCAGTCACGATGACTTGCAACTTTGTGCTAGCACAACCACCGATGGCTCCCAAATAGTTCAGCCTACCTAATTTCACTCACAAGTCTTGGGTCAAATACATTTTAGGCACTTCCCAGAAGTGCCATATGCTGGGATTGCCTCCCTCAGGCTGATATCAACATCAAGATGCCACCCTTATAATAAATCAACCACAATGAGATTTGAATAAGTCTCATGGTTGGAAAGTGAATGTTCTAACCACATGGCCATGTGCTCTCTCTCTCTCTCTCTCTCTCTTTTTTTTTTTTTTTTTTTTTTTTTTTTTATGATAAAACAAAAAAAATATATTATAATTTAATGTTACATTTTTCTAATAACCAGAAAGAATAGTAATGGCAATATACAGGATGCAGCAAAAGTATGCCACACTCCCCTTTCCTAACTACATTTTTTTTTTTTTTTTTTTTTTTTAAAGCTGTGGTGGAGCAATTGAGTGTCCATCATATTCACCAGACATTTTCTTGTGGGTATACTAAAAGATCTTATTTAGAAGATCAAACCAAAAAACAATTCTTGAATTAAAACAACCAATTTCTGATAAATTTTTTAAGATTAATATATAAATGAATTATATGGCTAAAGTGTTGCTGATAGGGATTGGTGTTCTATTGAACACGAAGAATATTTTGATAATTTGTTACTCATAACAAATGTTGTTTTGTTGCGAAAATACTTGTACATTTTCTTAAACTATAATTTATTTTTGTTCAATAAAAATTAAATTGCAAAAAAAAAAAAAAGTGCTGCTACTTTTGCCACACCCTGTATAACAAGAATGCGACAATGCCCCACAGTACTAACATAGTTAAGTCACTTGGCATTTCCTGTCTTACAGGACATTTTGTATATCTCTTTAACCTTTTTTAAAGTGTTTATTGTTCCAACAGTTGAACATATACTTTTTTGATACCAGACAAACATTAATTTTGATTATTTTATCAATAATATACACAAAAAACTAAAATACAATATGTAGTTACACATGTTAAAATACAATTAATGCTCATTTGTTATCAAAAAATATGTCTTAAAAAAAATGTCCCACTATTGGAATATTGGGTACTAAAGTTAAATCATGCCACCTGGAAATAATCTAATTTCTCATCAATTTCTTTTAAGGAAGCCATTTTCTTTTGGCAGCATCAAAATTGTATTTTGATTGTTTTTATCCAAACCAAAGTTGCTTTTATACTAATGGAGCAGTGCAAGGAGCATTTGAGGCTGATGACTAATGATCAAAAGATTAAAAAGCATTTAACAGAAATCATTATCATCATAATTTTTAAATTAAGAAAAAAAAAACCATTTTAACCATTATTTTCAAAATATTTTGTAAATCAATTTTACTTTATGCTGTCTGGGAATTAATTACTTGCAAAATTGTCTGATTATGCTTCCTTTTCACGAATTTCAGACTACTTCTCCAAAACGGAGTTGGGCAAGATTTCTTGGATAATCAACTAGAAGGCAGGAAAGAAAAGTAAGTAATTATTATTTCTTTGTAAGACATGGAATATGGAAATGATTTTCATTTACCTTATCAAATATGAATAATTAGAAGTGGATGAAATTTTTTTCTCTATTTGTTTCAGTAATGTTAAACTAACATACACAAAATTGACTTCTTAGAGATTGGTTATTTCTGTAATAAAGTTCCTCCAATTCAAAGCTCAAAAACCACTCATGGTAGGCAATTATAGAATTAGGTATGTAAGAGGAAATAGAAGAAAGTGAAGATTATGAGGATAAGGAGGATATATAACAACCTGAAATTTGAAGAGGTTATTTCAAGCTTTATTTGGCAACCTGGGTATCTTGAAAAAAAAAATCATCCAATATACTGTTGTGTGTTAAGTACAGTTTAATAGTAGATATATTCATCTAATGCCTGAGTAGTACTCCTTTCATGTTTATTGAACTGGAGTAAAGGTTTATCTCTTATTTCCTCTACTGGTTCTTTTCTTCCATGATCTTAATGATTTAAATGTCTTAACATTTTGGTGATCTGACTGACTTTTTATTATGAGGGTATTGGGTTGGCAGTTCTCTGGTTACTGCATCCTGACTAAGAAGCCTGAACTCTTTGGTAAGTGCTTAGGCTGTTCTGGTCAACAGTTGCATAATATTGGGGTATTTGCAGTGACTTCTGGTGGACAACCTTGACGCCACATTATGCTTTAGTCTTAGCCATTTGGCCAGTTTGTATTACCATAGATGATGGAAGGTGGTAATTATTTTGGCCTTTTTCTCCTTAACATAATCTTATGACAATTACATTGAAAAGAAATATAAGCAAACCAGTAAACAAAAATATCACCTACCCATTCAACCTTTCTCTGCACAATATTTGCGGTATTTGTACCAATTTCTGTCATGTAGAATCTTTTCTGTTGAAATGTTCTCCAAATAAATTAGCACTTTACAAAACTAATTTAAATTCTTTTATAGTTCCAGGCTATCTCCCCACCCCTTTTTTTCTTTTTAAAAAAAGATTCTAGAATATACATGCATGGCTTTGGTGTTTACATCTGAGAAAACCTAATGGCAAAAAAATTAATTATCTCTTTAGTTTCCAGATGATTCCTTCATGTGCTTTTAAATTTATTGCACTCTGTTAGCTATCTCTTTTTCCTTTATTACTTTCCTTCTTTTTCTCAGGACTTTATCAGATATTTTGTCTATTAATGTAGAAATAGATCTTTTGCTACATTTATTTACAGACCTTTTTGTGGTTGGTGATTTTAATGCTCATCATATCAAATGGCTTAATCATTCTGATATTACTGATTATGCTGATATTCAGACTTTCAATTTCTCCATTGTCTCTCCATCAAATAGTGTATTTCCCTAATTGTTTCCCTGATAATTCCGATCAATATGCTTTTTTACTTGATTTGTTCCTTATCTCCTAGCTTTTACAATGAATCACTTGTCCTCTTGATAATTCAGGTCATGCTGTAATATCTATTGATACTTCTTTTGAATCGTGTATTAGAAAGGAATCTCCTATTCACAAGACTTTTTTCTTTTGGAAAAAGTGCTGATTGGGATTCATTTAATGATTTATTTTTCTTTTTCCCGTTTTTCCTTTTTTATGTTTGTCCCTCTTTTTTTTTTTTCTGTTTGTCTTTTTTTTTGTTTGTCTCTCTTTTTTTTTGTTTGTTTGTCTCTTTTTTTTTGTTTGTCTCTCTTTTTTTTTTTGTTTGTCTCTCTTTTTTTTTTTGTTTTCCGTTTGTCTCTCCCTCAACAAAATGTTTTGTATTGTCAGTGATACTCTCCCACCTGACTACAATCTTCCACATCGAAATAAAGATCTGTGGTTGATGAGTTGCCAAAGAGAGGAAGCTGAAAAACTGCTTGAAGGAAAACCTGATGGAACCTTCCTTATTCGCCCCAAAAATAATGGAGAATGTTATGCATTATCAATAGTGTAAGTATACTTTTTTAAAAACTGGCTTTTTATTTGATTGGATTTACAAGACACAAAGTTGAACATTTTCCAAGTTCAGCTATAATGAAAATGAATCCAAATTTGTGCTATTAATTAAAAATGTAAATGAAACTTAAATTGAAAGAACAAACTTATACCTAATGAATGACTTAAACAGAGATTTTTTTTTTTCTTTTTAGAAATACTTTCCTATTTTAAATTGTGATAATAGCACTTTAAAGTTATGTCATATGTAACAATCTGCTCATTTAATGTTAATTGCCATTTTGCTTATTTGCATTTGGACTAATGCTCTCATTTTTGTTGTTACCATAATATTTTGGCAGTTTTGCTCTCTGGTCTGGTGTTAGATTTGATTAATCTTCAGGATATTTTGAACTAAATACTTTATTTAATCTATGCAGGTCTATTGCTCTTGTTTTGCTGGAAAAGTCTAGGATAGTTCATCTTGTATTCCACCACCCCAAAACTTTTCTTTTTTACTACTGCACAGTTTTTTTTGTTTTTTTTTTAGTCTGTGTCAGTACTACCTGACCCAGAGAGTGAACTCACAATTATTGTCACCAACTCCATGAAGCATGTTTTAATCTTCTAGGCTCATTTTTGTGATAATAAGAGCAATGATGAGGGCATTAATGTAAATAACTCTTCATCCCAGGAGTTCAATCAGGTTACCTCTTGCTTAAATTGTGTTAAATTTGAGATATTAACCTGCTTATGGTCATCATCAAATCGATCAATGAAGCAAAATCAACAGGCACCCAAACTAAAGGGAAATAACTGTATGTTCGCTCACTTAAGCCTTTAAAATCTAAAATTATTACTATTTATTGATTAGTATATATTCAGCAATGTTTAATCTTCATACCTGCAATAAAATCGTGTGTCAAAGAACAGTTATTCCCTTGACGCTAATATTACTGTATACACTTTTGGCACTCACTGCAATGTTTATATATAAAATATAAATAAAACTACAAAGCAATATTTGCAGTAAAAATTAAACATTCTGTAATTATGCACAAGTAAAACTTTGTCCACCTAAGGAATAGGAAGTTAGACACTAAAAATATTGAATGTTTGTTGTTTCACCTAAAATTAGAAGGATATTTGGTTCAGAGGAACAGATGCTCTCAACCTATTTTACTGAATTTGTGATGAGAGCAAATGAAAGAAATGCCCTGAAAATACATTTTTTCAAAATTTATAATTAGTTAGTTGCTGTTAGGTGGTTATTTAAGTTTTCTTGTTCAGACATTTTTATAAATTATTTCTTTTCATATTTCTTTTTTTTTTTTTTTTTTTTTTTTTTTATAAAATGGTAAATAATAAATATTTCATTATAGTTGGTTCATATATTTTTATAATCTTATAAATAAAAAATTATTCTTTCAAATAAGCAATCTAGTAATGTTTAATATCGTTGTTCTCAGTTTTCAAGAATAAAGATAATGTATAAATTCATTTTCCTATGTTTGGGTTTTATTAAAATGATAAACATTGTTGATGGTATCTAAAGTGTATACAGTAATAGTGGCATCAAGGGAATAATTGTCCTTTTGACCCACTGTTTTTTTTTCTTTTCCCAAGCATTTTGTTTAAACATTGCTAAATACTCTTCTTGATTTCAATATATTCCAACAAGTTTCTCCTCTTAATAAGACAAATATTTACAAAAAGAAAAGTAGTAGCAATTTTATTTATTTGCAAATTTATTATATCAGAGTTGAAAGAATAAATTTTCTTTTTATAGTTTTCTTTTTCTTTCTTTGTCTTTTTATTACTTAATGCTATCTAGTAATTTTCTAATGATAATATTAATGATACCCTAATAAATGATATAATAATATTAATGATACCCTAATAAATGATATAATAATATTTATAACACCCTAATAAAATTATTCTATTTCTTTTCCCAGATATGAAAAAAATATTGGACACTGCAAAATCTTAAGAAAAAATGGAAATTTTGGCTTTGCTGATCCATTTATCATTCATTCTTCATTATCAGAATTGGTTCTGCATTATCAAAAAACTTCACTATCTGAGCACAATGAGCACTTGGATGTTACCTTAAAGTATCCATTGAAAGCAACCGAAGTATCGGATGACTCTCACTATGCTTTGATGAGCTCAACTAACCAATGTCCTTCTTGGGACCATGATGGCTGAATTGTTGACCACAATCAACTAAATAGATGATGTTGATGCATAGATACAAAAATAAGCTGACACAAGGGCTGCTATAGATAAAACCTGCTGTGTAAATGAAGCAGGAGACATTTTCAAATTAAAATGGTTTCTTTCTTAGAAATGGAACCACATGTCAATGGGGGAATTCGAAACAAAAAAAAAAAAAAAAAAAAAAAAATTATAATCACTGACTTGTTTTCCACCGGCATCTCTTCACAAGCTGAAGATTATTGAAAATCCTACCAAAATGAGTGCATGATTTCTATCTTAAATTATCTGCTAATGATATTGGTTGGCTGATGCAATAGAGACGTGAGTGGCAAAGGTATCTTAATGAAACATGGACAGGATATCATCTGGATTTTATTCATATAATTTCCCAAAATTACAAAATGACAAAAAGACAAACTATTGTACTTGACAGCATGTTTTTCTCTCCATTAATATTTTTTTCATAATTTTTCGTTTTAATGCAATGACCTCAAGCAAAAAGAAAAAATCTGCAATAAGAAAACAAGCTTTGTTCCATTGCATGTGTCATCTATTCAAATAATGTATTGTCTCTAAATCGATTTCTCTCTTTACTACTGCTACTTCCATGTAAATGCCTTTTTATCTATTTACATCTACATTTTATTGATAAATAATTCTAGACTTATGTAGGTAAAACATTATTAATTTGAGGACTGTATGTTAATATGTACATTAATTTCCTTATTTTGAAAGAATATCTTAGCATTTTAAAATTCTAATTCCAAATTAGAATAAAAAAATCCAATTTCTTTTATTAGACCATCAAAACCAGCTGTTTGTGTATGTATATTTGTATTGTATAAGAATGAACAAAAAAAAAAATTACTTTTATTTTTATGTTTACTATCTTGCTAGAATTACAGGTTTACTAGTACGCATCGCAGTTTAATATTTTATTTATTTTTTTATTTTTATTTTTTTTGATAATCTAATTTTAATTTTGCATTAAAAGTCTGAACATAAATTGAAATATTGGGGTTTATTTTTTGGTTTTTTTTCCAGCATGTTTCTCTTACTGTTTAATTTCTGTTCATTAATTGTAAAATTTAAAACTCCCAAAAATTATAGAACATTGATGAAATCTGGAATATTTAAATTTGAAAAAAAAAAAAAAAAAAAAAATTTAATAACCTGTTTAAAAATATTACTTTTGTTTTAATTTTACACAGTCCTGATACTTCATTTAGCTTGAGCCGCTGTTTGTTTTCCAGTAGATATTGAGGCTGAATATTAATTCTATTAACTTTTGCTAATCATTTTTAGCTTTGATTTATAATCTTAAAAAAACTTTGAAGTTAAAATATTTTTAAACATTATAGTAACTTACGGTTATTATTACCTATTATATTTGAAATCTTAAAATGGACATAAGTTATATTTTAGCTCATTACCTGATGATGCATAATTTCAAAGTATTTTGAATTTGTTTTACTGTATATGAGGCTATAAATCAAGGAAATTAGACTGGACTTAGAATTCTATTGAGACTATTTCAAGTAGATGAATAATTACCAAAATATTTTGTCATCGACACTGGCTTTCATTTTTTTTTTTTCTTTTTTGTTCTGTCTGCTTCTTCAAATAATCGATATTTAACCAAGAATTCATTTTGAAGACACAATTTCTTGTTCTGTAATTCTTAAAAAGGAAAAAAAGTGCTTGAATTGTTAAGTATTTAAATATTTATCTTGCCATCATTTTACTAGCATTAATACATTTCTTCTTTTTTTTTTTTTTTTTTCTTTTATTTTTTTTAAAAGAATTCAGTTAAATATAAGGACAAAAATCTCAAACTTCCATGTATATTAATCATGGATTTTCTGTTTAAGTTTCTTTTCTTATTTTTATTTTTTACTTTTTTTTTTTTTTTTTCCTCTTAATTTTTCTTTCACCATCTTCACCTGCTGCAATTATCAGTGCCTGTCTATCCACCAGTTGTTACCCAGCCATATCATAGGTATTATGTTGTCATTGGCTACAAATGCAGTCTTGCCACTCACTACCAGTACTGATACCACCACTGCAATGCTGCATTATTCTGATGCAAGTAACTGAATAAATCCTTTAACCTATTCTTTTGTTGTTATTGAATTTCATAATCTGTATTTTGGGGTATATTTTGAAATTTCATTTATGTACTTATTTTAAAAATGCAATTTTGATGATCTACAATATAGATCTTCTGTGATCTATGCTGCTTTTTTTTTTTTTTTCTTCTTCTTTTCTTTCTTAGATTAAAAACCAGTAAAGATTGTATCCTTATGAAGATGGTGTTAAATAGATAAGTATAACTGTAGACTTATTTTTATGCATTTTCAAAGCATCTATAACATCTGAAAGGGAAATCAGTAGTCATATAAAATCTTTAAATGGAGATTTTTTTTTTTTTTTTTTTTTTTTTTTTTAGAAAGGAGGCATCTCTTGGGGATGTTGCCTACTAAAAAGAAATAAGTATAAAGATCCTGGGAAAGACACATATTTGAAGATCTATGAAGAGGATTTTCTACACAAAAAAATGATGGGGCAAATTGTACAAACCATAATTTCCCCCTGCAGGTCTAACTGACCATGACTAGTTTTCTCTGTGGCAGTCATGCATTTATCAGGTGGTCAGCAAACCAGCAGTTGTAGTCGGTCAGACCTTCACTGGCAAATTATTGTGTGTGTGTGTGTAATTCAGATACAAATATATTTGTAAGAAGACTATTAACAAAAGGAGAACTTCTTTACTGACACATTGTATCCTCTGATGGACTTTATCAAGGCAAATATAAGAATTTTACTTTGCAACAGATATTTATTAACACAAGTAGAAAATATCATTAGGTTTTCAAAGTATTAAGAATGCTCATTAATATTTTTCAGGTTAAATTAAATCACTTACCTTACTTTACCTTGACTGTAAGTTAGCCTGAAGAATAGAGTTCTTAAATTTAAAAAATTTGGGAAACCTGATATTTTTTTTTTTTTTTTTACTTATGCTTATAAATACTTGTTGTCTGGATGATGTCCATCAGGGGATGAAACATGTTGGTAAAGAAAAGTCTTCTTTTTGTCTTTATATATTAAAATTCAGCATGGGCATTGCTGACATCTTAACATCTATTGTAGCTTGGATGTACAGGTGGCATAATGTGTAAAAGCTTGTAATGGGAAAGCAAAGTTTGAATTCCAGTTGAATTAATTAAATTCACTTCTGCCCAAATACCCTTGGGGAAAGGTATGAATCCATCTCTTCTGTCAGTTATGAGTTAAATAGCAAGGCAGATTGTACTCTCTAGCTGTGGTTGACAACCAGTCTAGGAGGAAAACTCTGAATTCAAAACTAATCATAGATTTGACTTGTCAGCAATGGTCATACTCATGATGTACGATGTAGGATTTTTTTTTTTTTTTTTTTTTTACAACATGAACCTTGAATCTCTGACACAATGTTTTCATTGCTCTGTAATATTTTCCATTTTTGAATTCCAAATAAATAATATTTTAGCATTGGAACATGTAGAAACCTTAAACCAGGATTTCATCCCAGATGAGAGCAGCCTTGTTGATAGGAAATGAAGTAAGTTGTTGATACAACAATCAGTGTTTACGGTTTGGTTCTGTGACATTGTTTGATTTGTCTTTTTTTTTTTTTTTTTTTACAGCAGTAAATGTTTAAATTGTAATATTTGGTGGGTGAATTGTATTAAAGAACCCAACCATATGCTGCTAAGAACTTGTTTCCTGTTTTATCAAAGAAAACTCACTGTTAATGATTAGGTTTTGTAAATTCTGAAAATATTTTCTTATCACTTGTAGAAATTTTTTGTTTTGAAACACAGGAGTTTTACAGGATTTGGCAGTGATAAAATTTGTGGCAGGGGATGTCTATGCTTGCTCATTGTTCATTCTAGGTTGCAATTCCAACAATTTGAGATTTTAGTATCTGATTCTGATATCTATATTTTAAATTTTATTTATCTTATTTTTTTTCTTTCTCTTACTGCTGTTTTGAATTCAGAATAATTTTTATATATATCTACTGCTTCTATCTAAAATGAAACCTGTCTCCATGAAAACATGCTGCCAAAATATATGCTCTCTCTCTCTCTCTCTCTATATATATATATATATATATATATATATATATAACAAACTCTACTGGATTATCACTTCTGTATTCTCTCCTTGGACTTTTTTTCTTTTAAATTTGGCAATTATAGAATTATGGTTAGTGTGCTTTTCTTTTTTTTTTTTTTTTTTTTTTTTTTTGTTTTGTAGTATTTGATAACAATTTAACATCAGGATGTTATATCATGTCACAAAGGTTTATAAGTTTTGGGGAAATTGATTTTATGTACACATACAAGTATGTGTGAGTGTGTTAAAAAAATAAAAATCAGACATAAAATAAATGTAACTGCGAAGACACTATTAAAGAAAGATTTGACAAGAAGAAAACCTTTTTATGCCAGCATATTTTGTCCCTTGCCTGTATTTCAAAATGAATTTAAATTAATTGGAATTGGTTTTTACTTTTTGAAAATGGCTAATTTTAGCCATACTTAGAAATCTGTCAGCACAATGTAGTTCCCTTTATTAAAAAAAAAATATTTCAAAACTAAAATATTTTGAAACTTTATTTGAGGAAGATTAGCTGCTTTGAAGTTTAATTAATCTGATTTGAAACAAATGTTACCTACTTTAGATTATCGCAGAAAAGCATTTTTTTACACCTGGAGATGGGCGTTTTTATAAGATTCTGATGGTTATCTCAATACACTTATGTTTGAAAATTTTTTATGATTGGGGGAACATCTATAAAAATTACATGAATATAATATGAGCATTATAATTTTTTATTCTATTCTTTAACTACTCAGCAATCTTAAAAATTTAGAAACATATTCTGTTATTTAGTGTTTTATTGCATTTTGGATACTTTGGCTTTTAAATTTACTATA